GACATGAGCCGCGACTTTATACGCGTTATATCAAGGCTTATGTCCAATCACTGCTCGTTAGACTCGCACTTCTATCGAATTGGGCTCTCAGACAGTAATTTATGTGCGTTGTTGTTTGGTCGTGTACCCTACACCGTGTTACCTTACCTTACCAATCAGGCTAAGGCCTTGTTGTCCTCTGCTGTCCGAAGAAGTCGTCTCCACTCTACTCGATCCATGGCCACACGTCGCCAGCCTCGTAGTCTGCGAAGGGTCCGCAGGTCACCTTCTACTTGGTCGATCCACCTTGCCCGCTGCGCGCCTCTTCTTCTTGTTCCTGTTGGGTCGCTTTCTAGAACCATTTTCACTGGGTCGTCGTGCGGCATTCTTACGACGTGCCCAGCCCACCGTAGTCGCCCAATTTTTGCAATGTGGACGATGGATGGTTCTCCCAGCAGCTGGTGCAATTCGTGGTTCATTCGCCTCCTCCACGTTCCGTCATCCATCTGCACTCCACCGTAGATGGTACGCAACACCTTCCGTTCGAAAACACCAAGGGCGCGTTGGTCCTCCACGAGCATAGTCCAGGTCTCGTGGCCGTAAAGGACCACCGGTCTAATCAGCGTCTTGTAGACAGTCAACTTCGTGCGGCGGCGAATTTTATTCGACCGGAGCGTCCTCCGGAGTCCAAAGTAGGCACGATTCCCTGCCATAATGCGTCTTTGAATTTCTCTGCTGGTATCATTTTCGGCGGTCACCAGTGAGCCCAAATACACGAACTCATCGACCACCTCGATTTCGTCACCGTCAATCTGAACTCGGGGTGGGAGGCTAACATTGTCTTCCCTAGAACCTCTTGCTTTCATGTATTTTGTCTTTGATGCGTTGATGGCAAGTCCAATCCGTCTAGCTTCAGCCTTCAGTCTGATGTACGTTTCCGCCATCATCTCAAAGTTCCGTGCCATAATGTCAATGTCATCGGCGAAACCAAGGAGCTGGATGGACTTCCTGAATATCGTGCCACTCGTGTCTATCCCAGCTCTTCTGATCACACCTTCTAACGCGATGTTGAACAGCAGACACGAAAGTCCATCACCCTGCCGTAACCCCCTTCGAGATTCAAAGGGACTCGAGAGTGTCCCCGATACTCGAACAACGCACGTCACTCGATCCATCGTCGCCTTGACCAATCGCGTCAGTTTATCCGGAAATCCGTACTCGTGCATAATCTGCCATAGCTGATCTCGATCGATTGTGTCGTATGCGGATTTGAAATCGATGAACAAATGATGTGTGGGCACGTTGTATTCGCGGCATTTCTGCACAACCTGCCGAATCGCGAAAATTTGGTCCGTGGTAGCGCGGGCACCCATGAATCCCGCCTGGTATTGCCCCACGAACTCTCTTGCATATGGTGACAGACGGCGGCATAGAATTTGGGAGAGTACCTTGTAGGCGGCGCTCAGCAGTGTGATCGCGCGGTAGTTGCAGCAATCCAACTTGTCGCCCTTTTTGTAGATTGGGCATACGACACCTTCCATCCACTCCTCCGGTAATATCTCCTCCTCCCAAATCTTGGCAATTACCCAGTGCAGCGCTCTAGCCAGTGCTTCACCACCGTATTTCAATAGCTCACTTGGTAGTTGATCTACACCAGTTGCTTTGTTGTTCTTCAGCCGACCGATCTCCTCCTCAACTTCTTGAAGATCAGGGGCCGGTAGCCTGTCGTCTTCTGCGCGTGCTCCAAGGTCTGTTGCCGTGCCACCTTCGTTTTCTGCTGCTTCACCGTTGAGGTGCTCGTCATAGTACTGCTTCCACCTCTCAATCACCTCACACTCGTTCGTGAGAAGGTTACCGTCCAAGTCCTTGCACATATCGGCTTGCGGCACGTAGCCTTTGCGCGAACTATTTAGCTTCTCGTAGAACTTCCGTGTGTCGTTTACGCGGTACAGATTTTCCATCGCCTCGCGATCTCGATCTTCCTGCTGACGCTTCTTCCTTCGGAAAACCGAGTTTTGTCTGTTCCGCGCTTGTCTGTATCGCTCCACATTCAATCTCGTGCGGTGTTGCAGCATTCTCGCCCGTGCTGCATTCTTCTCCTCTACTAACAGTTTGCATTCGCCGTCAAACCAGTCATTTCTTCGGTCCGGGATTGCAGTACCTAGTGCCGCTACAGCAGTACTACCTATGGCTGAACGGATGTCCCTCCAGCCATCTTCAAGAGAAGCTGCGCCAAGCTGCTCTTCCGTGGGTAGTGCAACTTCCAGCTGCTGCGCGTAGTCCTGGGCAACTCCGGTGTCCCGTAGTTGCTCAATGTTGGGTCGTGGCGTTCGACTTCGACGTGTGTTATGCACCGTCGAGAGTTTTGAGCGCATGCATACTGCAACTAGGTAGTGGTCCGAATCTATGTTCGCACTGCGGTACGTGCGGACGTTGATAATGTCGGAGAAGAATTTCCCGTCGATTAGAACGTGATCGATTTGGTTTTCTGTGTGTTGGTCAGGTGATCTCCAGGTGGCTTTGTGGATATCCTTGCGGGGGAAAAAGGTACTTCGAACTACCATACCCCGAGAGGCTGCAAAGTTCACGCATCGTTGGCCGTTGTCGTTCGATACGGCATGCAGGCTGTTTGGCCCGATTGCCGGTCTATACATTGCCTCCCGTCCTACCTGAGCGTTCATGTCGCCGATGACGATTTTGACGTCCCGTTGCGAACAGCCGTCGTACACCTGCTCCAGCTGCGCATAGAACGCTTCTTTCTCGTCGTCGGGTCTCCCTTCGTGTGGGCAGTGCACGTTGATGATGCTGTAGTTGAAGAAACGGCCCTTAATCCTCAACTTGCACATCCTCGCGTTGATCGGCTGCCAACCAATCACGCGTTGGCGCATCTTACCCAGCACTACAAAGCCGGTTCCCAGCTCGTTGGTGGTGCCACAGCTCTGGTAGAAAGTAGCCGCTCGATGCCCGCTTTTCCATACCTTTTGTCCCGTCCAGCAAAGTTCCTGCAGTGCTACGACTTCGAAGTTGCGTGGTTGAAGTTCGTCATAGATTAACCTATCGCAACCCGGGAAGCCGAGCGATTTGCAGTTCCATGTTCCGAGTTTCCAATCGTAGTCCTTATTTCGTCGCGTAGGTCTGTGCCGATTGTTCCGATCCGTATTTCTTTCTTCGGTATTTGCAACTTTGTTTTTTTCCAGGGCGGCTTGTTGGGCCTGCCCCAACCCCCTGTCTCGCCGGGGGACCATCGTGCACAGCTCTGTTTAGAGTCCCACGCTGGCACTAGGACGGTGATCAGCCGCTCCTAACATGGAGAACAGACGCCGTTTTGAGCCGCACCTCCATGGTGAGCAGACGCTCAGGTTTGGTGAAGCATTTCCTCTATCACCGTACTATGGTTACCGCGCCAGTGTTCGCGTCGCACCTCTTCACTTTGCTATTGCCGGACTGGCAACATTGCCCAGGCTACGCCAACCAGCTGTGTCCATGTTTCAGCTGGTAGTTTTTTGTTATCATATGACTCGAGGAGGCGTGAAGTAGGAACTTGTGAGGACCAGGGCTAGGTATTCCGCTCCTTCCAGGTTGTCAACTCACCATTTTGTAACCCACCCTACACCGTGTTGCCAGATCTGATTTATCCACATCCCTCAGGGCCCGAGGAAAACAACCCGCGATACCCGTTAGAGATGTCTTGGCGAGCCGAGATCTCGACTATTTGAATTTAATTGATGTGTTTTTAAAACGGATAGATCTGAGGATTTAGTAGTTAGTGTCATCTTGTGTTCTCCCAAGTTGTTAGCTGCCCATCGGTGTACCCCCATGTTTGTCTTTTTCATCAGAGTGTCGCTTAGTTCGAGATCAAGAGCACATTGCTCTCCAAACCTTGTGTTCACAATCCTTACCCTGCCATCCATTTGTTACAATTTGTCACCCCTAACCTCGAGATAGCCGCGAGTAATCGGCCCCAGCTTTACTAACGTTAGTTTTAAGTAATTTTGTAATCTAATCAATGAATATTGGCTCCGCAAAGCTATAGCTAATGAGCCTGGAAAAATAAACGCATTATATAAAAAAAAATATGAGAACCAGTTGCAGCGGCAACTATTCTCCTACTTATCCACAAAATGATCACTACACCGTTTACACACACCAATCATAAAAGTAGTTCAGGAAATCTCATATAAAAAATTTGGAAATCTAATAGAAATATACGACTTTTAGTGAAAGTTCAGATAATTCTAGAAAAGATCAAGATAGGCTAGTTGAGATACTCCATGTTGAAATTTCGGAAAGGAAAAACAAATCACCTTACAATTTATTTTCCACAACATCGTCGCTTCCGAAATGTTTTTGTTTGTTTTTTTTTATTTGAAGATCAACAGACAAACTTCCAATTGTAAAACAAATTGCAACTTTAGTAGACAGAAGACAAATAAAAGGAGTTGAAATTGAATGTTTCGATAAGAATCAATAAAACAGTTGAAGATTTAATTATATTAAATTACTGAGTTTCTATACTAATATTTCTGCGGATACATTTAATAAAATTTTATCTTATTTAGAGCCTAGATTTAGAGCAGAGCTAGCGGCTCCGGTGGTGTGGCTTACCATTGCATGATTACCTCTCACCCCAGCAGGCCTGGGTTCAATCCCAGTCGGCGCCACCGGGACATCTCTTATCACGCCTTGCTTCGGAAGGGAAGTAAAGCCGTTGGTCCTCGGTTCATGAGTTGATGGGTCGATAGGTAGGGTCCATGTGAGGGAGCTGCCTCCCTGGCGTCAGTAGTATTGGTGCTCAGCACGGAAAACAAACCATAAGAAAAAAAAGAGCTATACATATACTTAAAAAAAACTAAACATTACACGTGGGCCTTAACACAATTTCAAACAAATTCGGACTTCAATGTGTGCTATTTTTATAATTATTGAGATTTTTGGCTATAGTTCACCTCGGCAATGCCCACCAATTTAAAGTTGCACTTTATCTAATCCAAGCTTTCCTCTCTCGTTCCTTCCCTCCTCAGGTACATCACGCCGACCGTCTTGCCCCAGGTGATAGCACCGCCGAACAAGTCCACCAGCACTGGCATCTCGCAGAAGCTCCGGGATCTGGCCACCTCGGCCGGGCTCCTGACGGCGAAACCACGACCTCCGCTCAAACCCGTCATCAAGACGCGGGGTTCCAACAGTACCGAGTTCCCGAAGAAGGTGACGTTCAGCGCTTTCGCCACCGTTCAGGTCGTTTGACCCCGGTGGTCGAACTAGTAAAAAACTAGTGCAGCAGGGAGGACCATCAACAACCCAGAACAACGAACAGACCCACACAAACCCAATCCGGTTATCACCAAGCGAATATCAATTATTTCATGCAATTATCGGAAACAATTTGTTATTCGCCCAATCGAACATGCAAAATCGACTAGACGACTGTGCGGAATGACAGCGTTAGAAGTAGAGAAATAGCAATTAATTATAGGAGCCAGCAAAAACAGATCACATTAGAACACGACAAATACACACAAACGAGTTACATGAACCCCCCCCCCCCCCCTTAGGTTCCGCACAGATTACACAAACTCACCTTCAGATCGATCGATACAAATTTCTTTCGTCACACTAGGGCCCCAACAAGAGTGCCTATTCATACCACCAGATAGCGATCGGAGTTCGGCGTTCCAAATGGGCCGATTGAGAACACATTTTCCCTCCCCTCGATTAGGCTGGTTCGGAAGCTTTCGTGTACCAGCCCAAGTCGGCTCATTTTTATCGTTTTGATTTACAAGCCATTTTAGCTTAAATACCACTGTAGAGCCCGAGGGAAAATGCTTTGCTTGAACTTGGTTACATGTGTATGCTAGAATTGTACAGAAGTCTTGAAAGGAGTGATATCTCCAGCATAAAATCTCCTTCTCCATCTAGTTCTACTTTTTTTTATTATTATTTGACTGGCACCACGCTGGTGAGTGCGCTACGGAGACCATTTCTGGATGTGTTTTGTATAAATTGTACGATTAAAGGTTTTTTTTATTTTTTTTTAGCTAGATATTGTTATTGTAGAAACCGAGTCTCGTGCCTCCGACGAGCGTGGAGCGAGGGAGTAGCAGCGGGAGGCACGAGACGAGAACCCAGGAACCAACAGCCAATTATAAGACTTAATATTTCTTACACCTCTTTTAACTGTTCGTTTTTATTTTTTATTATTTTTTTTAAACTGTAGATAGATTTGTAGCGCTAGATCGTTCGTTCAAGGAAAGAAATTAATGAAAAATTAAACAGCAGCAAACGACCGTTGACCAAATCGGAGTACACCGCGTGGCAAGAAATGTCCAAGATCTTAGATTTGAAGCCGTGCCGGCGTATTTGGAATTTGAGTTGAGTTCGCTTTGCTGCGCTCTAGGGTCATGTGTTTAGATCAGTTAGATAGTGCCAAACCAAGGTTTGGCGGCGGTCTGCTTTATTGCACCGAATGCATATTCATATGTTATTCTTCATAAAAAACAGAGAAAAGAAAATCGAAACGTCACGAAGGGAGTCTAATTCCGCTCAAGGGGGAAAGTTTTTCTACGCACAAAACAACGAAACGGGTTGCAATGACAAACAATTTAATGGTTTGCACATTCTTACCTAGCGGTGGGTGAGCGACGCACTTTTTGCTTTTATACTGACTGCTTGACCTAGCTAAGGGTTCTGGGGGAAATGATAATGTCACGTAGTTCTGGATGGGCATTATTGCGGAATGTTTATTGTTGGTTTGGATTTGGCATAAACTGCTGTTGAATAAAGCAGAGGGCGTTAAAACGGTTAACGGAACACTTATTAGCAGTTCCGTATCGAACATAGTTATTATTTTTCTGTGGTTTACGTGTAAAACACGTGTTACACTCCAAAATCTAAAAAAACACTGTTGTTAAAACTAAGACTTCTATCACCTGATGTTGGCAAAAACTAGGTCATGTTGCCGTAGATATCTCTGAACACTCAAGTGTGTCGTGAGACTTTCTAAGTAGGGAAAATGGCTCTAATGTTGGCCTATGGATCTAAGATTGGGCCCATCGCTAAAAACCTGCTATTTATCAATTTTATCTAGATGAACGCGTCATTGGGACGGTACTAATGGATATTTTTGATTGTTATTGAAAATTTAGTCGATTGCTGAATTTATGTATGGGCCCAAATTAGGGATACTTAGGCCGACATTACATATATTTCCCCTATATGTGCAGGGAAACCATGTGTTACTGCACTTATGCTTGAAGTAACTTCTCTGTGGAATAGAAACTAGTGATCTCAAGTATTCATTGAGATTTTAACTCGTCTTTTTTGGCTATACATATACATTTGTTCAAAGTTGGGTTGAAGTGATTCTGAAAATGTCGATATCGTTAACAATGTTTATATAAATATGTTCTAAAAGTGATTTGAAAGCGATTTTTTTGGGAAAATTTAAATAAATAGGATTGAGTTCAAAAACACAATTTGTCAGGAACACCCTATGTCAATTCTGAAAACTTGCTCTAAATTGAGAACGTTAAGTGATATATAAAATATTTTTAAAAAAAATTAGCTACAACTTTGCCTGCCTTTGGTAAGGGTGGATCTCGAACCCAAATTTTGAAAACCGCCGTAAGAAGGAGCTTTTTCAACACAATAAGTACACGGAAAACACCAATCTAGTGCCGCCACCGGCACTTTTTCACACGTCGCCCCCGCTCACTATTTTGAATTGGCGTGCCGCCGTGATGATTTTTGATACGCCGCTGTTATAATTTTGGATACGCCGTCAATGTAATATTTTTTATACTTTTAAATTTTGAAAGACGCGTTTTTCTCCAACCATTGCACATAATAAAACACAAAACAGGTCAAAGTAAAAAAAAAACAATACCGTGGACTCCCGGTAAACTGACACGCCATGCAAATTATTGCTCAAACGACATTTTGCAGGTGGAATGGAGAAAAGCGAAATGGAACGATGCAAAACGAACTCAGAATTAAAACAAAACAGCAAATAAGGCTATCAGAAACTCCCTTTTCTGATTGTCATCGGATTACTAGAGCTTCAAATTAAAAAGGAAAAGTGATAATATGCACGAAGCGTCGTTCATGACGTTCCACGGCACACAAAAAGACATTGCTAGATAGAGCTGGAATTAGGGCGTAACAACTTTTGTAAACAATTATTCGCTCCACGATTTCTAGGAATTCAAGGCACGCCACAAGTGGAAGACTTCCCGATAGCTATGTCGGTTGCGTGGGCGAGCCTTGACTTTTTAGAAATCATCGATAGAAGTAATTGTTTACAAAAACTGTTACGCCCTAATTACAGCTCTACCTAGATTGTTTCTTTATCATAGACCTGATTTTTTTAATCGCTCCGGAAACAGTTAACAGATACCAGAGTTTCAAACACATCCACAGGCACTCTATGCTCATGGAAGTCGAGAAAATTTCAATCCAGTAAGATTTTCTTGACTGGGCTGTAAATCAAAACCACCGTCATCGGTTTGGTGTTACAGCCATAACTGAATAATAGGGATGGTCGGGTATGTAATTTAAATACCCAAACCCGACCGGTACCCCATACGCAATCAGAACCAAAAAATTCTGTTTTCTGAATACCCGTACCAGACTTGAACTCGTCAGGTACGGGTATGGGTTGAGTTTTTGGTAAACAAAATCGTTTCTGATCATCTACATGACCACTAGACTGATGCAAATTTTGACATTTTCGCTCCACAGTGCTCAAACGGTTCCAAATCGGGTCCTGATTAGTCTCCCAAAATTTGAACTCATTCGATAAGAAACTGACTTGGCACAAACCATTTGAAGTTTATATGGAAATTACTATAGGAAAACCAAATGTTTTGTTCATATCCATCTAACAATTTACCATATCGCTCTGCTTTAAAAAATGATAACTGAGCTCGTAGAAAATTTTCTCAGCTACAACTTTGTCCTTAACCACTTTTCAACATAATGTAAGCATCAAAAGTTATCAATAATTCAAGCCACTAATGTCTTACGATTATGCTCAATCAACTGTTCAGCAGGCAACATTGGTGTTTCTGGCGCTTGGAATAGAGCACAAAAATCATGGCTACTATGTCACACTGCAAGATACAGTGTTGCTCGCAAAACAGCTGCTTGATCGTGCCATAAGATTATCATTCTCTTAAACAATTAATAACTATTTTATTTGACGTTTGGCTCAACAACTATATTCTGCTAAGTTGAAGCTGAGAAAATTTTCCATAAGTATAGCGTTTGGGTTTTTGAACAGTGCAATATGGAAAAAGGTAAGAAGACAATGAACAAAAAGTTTTGATTTCCCATAGTAATTTCCATATAAACTTCAAATAGTTTGTGCCAAGTCAGTTTCTTTGCAAATGAGTTCAAATTTTGGGAGACTAATCAGGACCCGATTTGGAACCGTATGAGCACTGTGGAGCGAAAATGTCAAAATTTGCATCAGTTTAATGAACACATATACTTATTTTTAAAGTTTCTGTTATTGTCAAGGCGCATGGTATGTGTTATTTGTTGAAGAATTTCGCTAAAAGCTTGTTTTTATACTCAAAATCATTAATATCTTCATTTGTTTTTAAACTTTATTAGAGAGATTTTTAGCTCATCGCCTAGTTAATCTCGGGTTCTACTTTTGCCGCGTAATTTTCGTCAGCTAATTAAACATTTTTTTGCTTTAAATTTGTTAAATTGAGTGCTGAAATTTAGTTTCAAGTGTTCATAAAGTTATAGTTTAGTGATATATCGTGTTTTGCCTGTATTTGTCTTGAGTGACTCGATTGACTTTGAATCTAGCCTCCAAAATCTACGAGGCAGCTTGAGTTCCATTGTTTGGTGTCGGTTTTCATTGCCTCCCCGGAGCCCGTTTTTCCGAGTTCGGATGCCACACCTTCGGCGTGTAGTTCTATTGAGAGATTTGTCACCGTGGGCGAGTTTGAACTGAATTAGCCCGAGAACGTGCTGATAATGTGTCCGTCGCGAGGTTTGGTGGTGATTTGGTGGCCGACGTTGCCGTGAATCAGCAAGTTTTCCGGTTGCAAAAGTGCTCGGCTGCTGGTCTCTCGCCGGTGTCGGAGATTGCGTGCAATCTGAAAGATGCCTAGCTGGATACGCCCAAGACTGGATGGGTGGTAGATGGTGGCCGCCAACTGTTCGTGGGGAAAATTCTAGATGCGAACCTCCTCCCAGATGACCATGGTAATGCAAGAAAATTTGTGTTAGTTGAAGGAAGTATTACGACAAATGTGCATCACGAAATGAGATGCAAAGCTTAGATAAAATCAAAACTACGGAACCCATGGATTGGAGGATCAAATTAACATGGTGAGACCAGTCCAAATACTTTTTACAATTAATACGTGCCAGGATTCAAAAGAACATTTTGAAATTGGAAGTGTGTGTGTAATACTAATATCCAATTGATAGAGGTAAAACATACATGTGGGGCTTATTATAAGAGAAAGTAACCTCGGAATGGGCGTGACTCTCCAGACATTCTGAAATGGGTTGCTGGATCTGACATAGAGCTATCATTTTCTAACTCCCGGACTAAAGCTGTCTACAATGACCAAAAATGCGACATTGTAGAGAGACTTCTTCCATAATAACACTGCCGGTCTGTGGAGGTTAGAGGGAATACACACACACACACACATTGCCTAGTTCATATCGTACTTTCTTAATTGGATAATGTGCAAGAAATACCCGTACCCGACAATTACACGTCTGTTGTTACCCGTCTCCGACCCGAACCCGAAAATGTATTTATTTGCGTACCCGTACCCAACCGAACCTGTTGAGCTACGGGTCAGGTTTCGGGTAAAAATGTCCGTCGCTGACCATCTCTTCTAAATAGGCTTTGTAATCTGGGATGAATTTAATTACAGAAAAAAAAACATCTTTGGAAATAGTTCCGTTACTATTCCGAAATGCTTTGATGTTGTTTTCGATAGCAAATTCAAAATGGAGTTATCTGCAACAAGTCACAAATACAGTTATACAATATTTTGGTTTAAATTCAACTTTGAAATGTGACCATAGAGGTAGCTCTAAGACCAGAAGGTCCCAAAGAAACGAGCTCAACTTTTTGGCTCAGCTCTTCGGTCCCAAGCTAATCGATGCACCCCTCGAAACATAGGATAATCCACGAACCCCTCATTTTATCTGTCAAACTTTCATAGCGAATCAAAACAAATTATGACTAGAATGGGGTACGTTAATCGATTTGCTTGGGACCAATAGGCTAGTCAAGTAGTAAGCCAATTTTAAATCGTTAGTTTCCAACCGGTGGTGATACGCCGATGCATGCCGCCGCCGATCAAAGTCAACGGCGTAACGCCGCCACGCCGCCACCGCCAAGTCAAAAGCGGTTCCCACGCCACCGCCGCCGCCGATGAAAGGACCGGCGCACAGGTCTACACCAATCGTCCAAAATGTAAGGCAAAACCCACCAAACATCAGCACTTAATCAACTCAAATTGTTTGTTGGGAAGCCCTAGGATTTTTGTTTTGCTAAATTCTCATCCTAGACCATTGAGCAAAGGAAATACTGAATATTCGAAACGTCATCCTGGAAATCGCCTTCGCTACTGGAAATTGAATACCCTAAACCAGCGTTTCTCAATCTATGGGTCGGACTGCCTTCCGGTGGTCACAGAAATTTTTCGCTTTCAAAATTTCGTTTAAAATTTATCCGAATTTACAATTGCGTTGGGATAATCCAAATTGATTGTAAACTTATGATATTTGAATT